AGGACCAACGCCTCGGACATTGGATCTTTCAGGCATAGCTCTTGATGCGCATTCCGCTACAGCCTTATCCGACCTCCTGACCATCGAATGGGGCTTACGAAAGCTAGTTCTTAAAGAATGTGACCTGGACGAACTAGTAAGTTTCGGTCCTACTGATTTGGCGAGAGACGTAACGTTTGACCCTGCAGTCCCTGAAACCGCTACTCCACTCGCTGCTCATACCAAACACTTTATCCTACATTTCGCTTGCAGGAAACAAGAACTTGAAAACCCCAGCATGGAGATTAGTAGGCGTCTTTCTCTCAAAGGCTGTAACGCTGCAATTCTTGGATCTATCCCTGAATTCTCTCGACAAAAGGGCGATTGAACTAGTTGCCGGTGCTTTAGGCACGGTTCCTCCATCACTGCCGGCTTCAACACCCGCAGGCTCGATCTCTATGTCATTATTGGATACCTTTGACACCAAGAGTCGTCCGACAGACAAGCCTCAATTGGTTTCTCTCAGACTCGATGGCTGTAACCTCCGTCCCGCTGCGCTCGAGTCGTTGGCACACGCCGTGCGAAACTCACCGCTACAACACATTTCCTTGAGAAACAACAAAATTTCTCCCCCAGCAGCAGTGGCGCTCGCACTTATGATCAAAGATTATCCAGATACTATCCCGACCACCGCAAATGGCACATCCTCCCTCCCTTCCTCGCCAAGACTCTCAACCATGCCACTTTCTCCTCCAGCGACGCCTCGAGGATCTATATTGTCACCTACGACTTCTCATCCTCCGATATCGGTCCAACCCGCCGCACCCGGAACAACCTATACGCCTTACATACCTCGGTCAAAGAGAGCATCCGCCATTGCCACAGTCACCGCTTCGGCTTCACCAACTGTTGACCGGGAAGAAAGACAAGTTCCTCGGTTTTCTACATCACAAGGTGGCGGTGTGACCACTCGGCATGTTCCCCCTCAAACGCCGAGTGAAGTTGTATCCGCAGCGACTGCTGCTGCCCGAAATGCTGGGCCCAGTGCAGCGCTTTTGGATAAAGTCCGGGCTTTGGATAATCTACCACGACTTGGTTCCTTGAAAACACTGGATCTACGCGGCAATGATCTCCGCGTAAGGGTGCTTCTTCTTGATTCTTTGCCAATGTTCTCACTTCAGATTAGACAGGCGTTGCCTACATCTCCCAGGTTCTCAAGCGCAATCGCACTCTCAAAATCCTCAATCTCTCCGACAATAAGATTGGTTCAGATGGTCTAGAGAACATTGCGGACGCACTTGTACGTTGAAACCTTTACACAGTGTAAATGACACTAATTTTCCATTAGAAATATAATACCTCTTTGGAGACCCTGGATATGAGTAGAAACCCTTGCTGTGGACCTGGTGTTGAAGGAGTAAGTTCATCAAGTGGTTTCAGAAAGCAGCTAATTCGTACATAGATCACATCATTAAGGACGGCATTCACTTTGAATACTGCTCTGAAGCGGCTTTTCTTGTCATCAACTTCTATGACAGATGACGGGGCCATCATGTTGGCCGAATTCTTACCAGAATCGACCAGCCTTTTGCACCTTGATCTCACACAGAATTTTCTGGGTATGGCAGGAGTCATGGCCTTGAGCAATGGACTTAAAGTAAGAATCCCGTGAGAAAATAATCCATTACTCACACACTATAGGCGAACGAAGTCATGAGGTGCTTGGATCTCAATATTCCACCTGGAGATGAGGAAATGGCACGGTAAGTGGTGCTTATGACACATAGCTTTACGTTCTACTTAACAAATACCTCAGACTCTGTCGAGAAATTTTGAGCTGGTGTATACGGAACACAGAACGGGCAGACGCGCGCGCCAGAAGTGAGGGAGCGCCGTCGCGAGGAAAGGGTATATGGGGCATGATAGAAGCCTCCGCGCTTGCTCGCGACGTGCGAAATGGTGAAGGCAAAAGAGTGAGTGCATCCGATACCTGATCTTGACACCCGACCTAATAAGATATAGATCGAGGGAGATACTGTGGAAGGAGCCCGAGAGGTTCAGTATCATCTGGAACGTATCCTTAAGGATCGCACCGGCCCACATCCGACCCTCTCGTTGGATGATGCAGTGATCCTCAATAGAGCCAAGGCGATCCTTCCTGCGCTCGGTGCAGCAATCGAAGCGTCTGATGATCCTTCTAAACTGGAGGAAATGTTGACATTGAACGATAATATCACAGATCTACTGAAGAAGATCGAAGAGATCAAACCCATTCGACCTTCGTTGGCGCTGAGCGGTTTGAACAACGGATCCTTCCGTTTCTCAGAAACTTCTGCTCCAGGAACACCTTCGTACACTCCGGACATCTTGTCTCCGGGCCTTTTACATTCCTTTTCCAACTCGTCAATTTCAAGTCTCACTTCACCTGCTACACCTTCCAATGCAGAGGGTGAAGACGATGACGATATCCCAATAACACCTAGACGGGATAAAGGAAAGGGAAGAGCCATTCATGTCGAGGAACCGGCATCGTTCGGGGAATCCCAAGAGGATGCTGATGCAAAGATTATTCCAGAACCGGGTTCTACAGTGGATGAAGCTACAGGCTCGCCGACCGACACCAGGTATGTATACCTAGTGGCTTAAATTTCTATAATTGTATTGATTCTTCGCCTAGGAGTCGAATTTGGGTAGAAGAGGAAGGGGAAGTCTTCCGAAAGGGTGTTGCGCTGTTAACCCAAGAAAAGATGGAAGGGGAGCTCGGAGAGTTTGCGGGAGACGACTTGCGAATCGAGTTGCTTGAAGCAGAAGTAGAACGACCGCCAGCGCGCGTCTTGGACTACGATATCGATGGGGATCCGATACCAGAGAACCAACCACAGATGAATCCACCCGTCCCTCGCCCACCCCGAGCAAATCCAACTGATTATTAACTCCATCTACTCCCAGTCATTTACACATCTCGTTTCTAAACTGTTCATGGACTCCGCTTACCTGTTGCGTCGTGCTTTCTCATAAGCTACTAGGAGCATCATTAATATCCACTTTATTTCCTCATACGAATGTTGCAAGTAAATGGAAATTACTTTCATTGAATGGGTCATCAGGGGAGCTATGAAATCACAACGAAAGGGAAATGGCTGGTACATCCAAATGGCCATGTCGATGACCGCCTGACGCAATTACAAATATATCACATAGAAAGCAATGGGGGACGCTAAGTGCTAGTAGATGAGAACTCTCTTACTGTTCAACAGAGGTATTCAAGATGATTCTCCCTGACTTGCTTTTGTCTTGAAATACTGTGTGTTGAAGATCCGAGTAATGTGCACTGGAATATGTTTACAGAGACTGAACAAATTTGAGGACAGAAGCATGGCTAGGAAGGAGTGAGACCCTGTATCATACGAAAGAGGATTGACTGTTACCTCTCATCAGGCTTGACACCAATCTTGGCCTCGAGAAGCTTTCCAGTTCCCTTCTCAAACACAAAATGACTGCGTTTGGTGGCGTTGCCGTTCTTAGCACCGAGCAATTGGATAAATTTGCGGTTGGGGTCGGAGAGGAGAGAGTATCCCAACGTGTTTTTGGTCTGCCACTTGGTGAGGGCAGCAGGAGTATCCGACGTCAAGGCATAGACAGTATATCCAAGTTTCTTGAGGTCTTCAGAGCTATCACGGAAGTGGCACGCCTGCTTATTGCACCCGGCTATGTCGAAAAGTACCAGTCAGTTGACCGGATCTTTTCACAAAGGACAAACTACTCACGTGTATCGGCTTTGGGGGCGGCAAAAATGACAACACCGCTATCGTGAGTGATCGTAGCAATCTCTATATCCTCGCCCTTTTCATTCTTCAATACCATCTGGGGTAAAATGGATCCAACGATCATGGCTTCGCCATCGGACTTGCCCTCGCTGCCCTCTTCAATCGTGGGCTGTACCGTCACGACACCGCTCTTGCGTCGTTCTGTGCGGGTCTGCGAATATGATAAAAGAGAGGCGGCGCGGTTCAGAGCAACAAACACGGGTCAGTATTCAAAGGTAGTAGGGTGCTAGGTAGTGAGCGTTCTCACCGCAGTAGCCGCTTCCTTTGCTTCCTTGGTTTCTGCAGCTTTTTCAGCCTTCTCAGACTTTGGTGCGGCCTTTTTTGCTTTAGACGCCGTGGCTGGCTTTGCCTCGGCGGGTTTGGCCTCGGTCTTTGCCTACAAAGCACACAAAGTGGGTGGTCAGCACCAGCCCATAGCCCCCCACAACACCCGTTTACACGAGTAGATAGAGCGTGAAAAGGAGAGCGTCGTACCTTCTTCTTGGGCTTCTCTTCCTCTTTGGCCTCCTCAGCCTCGCCAGCCTCTTCCTCCTCTCCTTCAACATCCGCTTTCTTGCGCTTTTTCGCAGCTGGCTTCTTGGTAGGCTTCCATTCAGTGAGATCAGGATCTGCCTTTTTCACTGCCTTTTTTGCTTTTGCGGCAGCAGTCGTCGCAGGGGCTGCAGCAGCTTTGGCAGGCATCTCCTTGATACGCGTCGAGCGTCTTTCAGGTTCTACGGAGGTGGCCCCCTCCTCGGTCGCTTTCTTACGTGAGGGCATTATGTTCAGCTAAAGATTTACAGTAAGGTGAGTCGCGTAGGAGGACGCGTTGATGGGGAGAGAAGAGCGCTCGATGGGGGAGGGATTCAACCTGCAAGAGATCGGAGTTCAAAATTTTGGGTGCTCTCGTGATGTGGCCAATTCCATCTCCTCAAGTAAACAACATTGTAGATATAAAAATGGGAGTGTTATTGCAGGAAAATACGTGTTATAACTAGATATCCAGGGGACAACTCGACGCCTGTCTATGGCAGAAGCATCGATGTCCGTAGGTACAAGGGCGTATAAAAAACTCGACAAGCACGAGCTGTCCGGTAAACAGGCATATAAAGCGAATTACCATACGACAATTTTTGGTCCTTTGGAATCATGAAGGGGGCATTAAACACTGGGCTGGCCTTCCCCCTTCGCGTTTGTGATCGAGCGTCTATTCGTCTATTCGCCACCGATTCCTCCACCAGCAGCAGAATCACCAGCAGCACCTCCGGCAGCACCAGCGGCACCTACAGCACCAGCAGAGCTAGCTACAGGCGCAGATTCCTGATGACCACCAAGATCTCCCTTCCTGTTCTTGTGCGGTTTGGGTGCAGGGTTCTCCGTCGCGTCATGAGAGAGTCCTCTGGCCAACTGCATTCTCATTTCCATAACACCCTTCTTGACCCAATCTTCTGGAGTGGGAGCTTGACCATATGGCATGTCGCGAGTGAACAAGTGATCATTCTCGGGGACAAAGGCCCATTTCGCGGGATCAGGAACTGGAACAGAGGTGATGGATGCGAGTTCGACCCTGATGATGTTGGCAGTAAAGTGGTCAAGGTTGAGATCGTTCCTATCAAAGCCGAATGGATCTTCAATTTCCTCGCCAGCAACGACGAAACCAGTGAAGACGAATGTAGCGATGGCAGTAGCAGGGATGGTAAGCCAGCTATGAATACATGTTAGAGTGTCATCTTTAGAGGGTGACTGATTCCGTACCTCATAGTCTTGACCAATTGGAATGGCAAAGCAGCGCAATACAAGAGAGTTACGGTCCACAAGTGGATAGAGTAGGAGAAGGGGATAGGGGTGGTAAGAATGCGCTCCAAACCAGTCAAGGCATCAACCATGGCGTTGAGCGAGTTGAGCAGCAAGTTGATAGTGGGCACGTCGCAGACCTTGCGGGTTTGGAGAGCAGCAATGTAGGCAGACTAAACCAGCATCAGAATAGGGCCCCAGCTAGTCATTCAGGACAAAACAACTCACCAAGTAGAGGGAAACTTCCAGGGGAATGTTGTGCGAGATAACATCATCACGGTCGTTGCGGCCGTATCCCATCTTTGCCCTGGCTTTTGCAGCAGTCTTTCCACTGAGCTTGACTCCTCGCTTGGTAAGTGGCTTGACCAACATTGTGAAAGGGAAGATGTCAAAGATGGAGAAGCTAGGTGGGTTCCTGGAGGGGAGAAGTGGGGGTCCACCATCAGGGCCGACGCTCATCTTGAACATGCGCGCGCGGGGGCTGGTTGCTGGGAGAGGAAGTCCGTTAGTGGCGCCCTTTGGACCCTTTTCGTTGGTAAATGGCATGTCGTCTTCGTCTGAATGGCGATCTGGTTTGCCAGCAGGGAGAGCATAGGCAGGGAGGTACTTGGTCAAATGGAACAAATCCTCATAGCGAATGCCTTCTTCACCACGCAAGTAGTGCTTGACGGAAACGCTGGATACATGTCAATCCTCAAAGGTGCAAAGAAATGGGTAGAACACCTACGCAAAGCCCTCGATAAGGTTCAAGATGGTCTTCTTCTCTACCAGAGTACGTGCGCGTTTTTCATCGTCAGTGCTTCCCACAGTATATGCGATATCTAACCGGGGCAATATGAGCTAAATGCAGGTATATTTGGAATGGGTCTTTGCTCACCGGGAACGTGGAACCAGACGGAACGTGCAAGGGTCCTGGAGTTATAGATGATTGTAGACCAGTACCTTCGGCCCTCATTGTATCGCTCGAAAGACGAGGAGGTACGATACGAAATGACGAAACCCAAGACAGTACCGAGCACCGTCAAGAGGGTGGGTTGGATAGATAGATCATAGACACCGGTCTTGGTGATGGCAGTGATCATAGCTGCCCACGCAGAAAAACCGAGAATAAAGTGCCAGCATTGAAATAATGCAGTTGCAAGCAACGCGTTGACTACAAAAACACAAGTCGGTGGTCAGCACATAACCCAAGCGTTATGGAGAGGAGCGAGGCAGATAAGGAGTGTATAATTAGATGAGATTTCATTGGATAATGTGCGTGACAGAACAGTTTGCCAGCGCACTGTGTCTGTGAGGCGGTGGCTATCTGGCCGTAGCGAAGCACCAAGGCCGTAGGACCGCATTTTCACTTCGTGCGATCCATGCCTCGAGTCTCTCAGACACAGAGTAATATTGGGAATAAAGGGTGCAGAGTAATATTCAGCTCCTCGGGCACACCATCTACGGCGCTGGCAAGAATCTCGATGGAGAATAATAGGAACCGGAGAGGGCGTCGATAGAAATTTGATACTCACCAAAACTAGAGAGGGCATGGCGACCCCCTCTGCCAGTAGATCCAAAACCAGACACGAAGTGTGTGTCCGAGCGGGCAAGTGCTTTAGGTTGCATCTTTTAGCTCCGAGTCGTTCGAGTGAAGAGGTCGACGGGCTAATGGAACAGGCTGAAACTTGGAGCGTCGCTCAGAATCTATTCGCCGTTTTCCTAGTCGTTACAGATGCTTTAAAGAGAGATTATTAGGAGAGAAAGAGAAGGGGAGAAGGAGGAGTGGAGAGGCAAGTGCGGCCCCAAGCAAAGTGACCCTAAATATGCGACTCGTTTCCAAGGCCGCCCGGTCAATGAAGCACGTCTCGATGCATCTTTGCTAGCCGCGCGCAAAAGCCTGGGCCATATACACCGCTGGCGCTCCCATTATCATTCAGCTAGAGCCAAAAACATGCGTTTCTCCGTCACAATCGCACACACTTGCATTCGTACGTGCGAGGCCGTGTTGGGAGATGTAAAAGTAACCGCGCGCCACAATCAATGGAGGCTTTCAGGCTGTTGTTTACAACGTAAAGTAATTCAAAAAGGGAGCATCTAACAGGATCAAGAGTCAAATTTACAAGAGCGTCGACGTGCAGTCTTTGTATATTATGATTCTTGTATACATCAAAGGAGCCTAATCCATCCTTGCCTTTAGCCGTCGTGTGATCACCTTCTCCGGAGTGCTGTGAGCAAGAGCATGAGTATGTCACAACGTAAAGGGGGAAGAGGTGGGCGCTTACATGACATGGACGATAGCTCCCCAACCTGAAAAGGCGTCTCGGTCTACCGCGTTCATCAACGTCTGCGAAATGGTCTCAAACAGATCTTCAGGCTCCTGTAGACATATATCTATGAGTACCAGAGATTCACTTTACGATATATGACCCTCACCAGATCGGGTTCCCACAGGCTCTCCGCCATACCAAACAACTTGTCAGTCGCCGTTCCTGAAACGACGAAATCCTTGGCAAAGTTGATGCAGCCGATCACGTCTGTCGACGCGATGAATGGCTTGTTTGTTCCCTTGGATAGTCCGGCAATGACAGGCTCAAGGAAATAGGGACCAAACCTGTTACGACCGGGTTATTTTATAGTCTATAGGGATGCATAATCGAGGTACCTTTTTTCGTATAGAGTCGAGCTGACGAGATGAGCAAAGGTCTCGGGCTCAATTTCCCTCTCCTCC